CTCCAGCAGCACTCCGCACAAAAACAAACTCTAGTCCCTTGACGACTCCCTCTCATCCGTCCGTTCAGTCTTCTCTCTCATAGTAACTTCTTATCAACACAACGAACGACGAAAGACCTGTCACAATCGAAATGCTTTCTTTCTTTTTTTGTTTTTGTTTTTGTTGGGGGGTCTCCTCTAGTTTTCTCTCTCCCACTTGCTGATGTCGCTCTCTTGTCGTTCATATGTATGTATGTTGTTGGGGATGATGATGTGCTCCTCTCCTCATTTGTTGTGCAAAACAAATTCAGCTTCTTCTTCTTCTTCTTTTTCATCCGTAGTGTTGTATTTGACAAACGAAGTGGGGATTTAGGCGGTTATTTTTGAATGTTTACTTGTAGAAAATATTTATATCGTATTTGTTGTTGAGATGATAGGCTAGTTTATATCTTCAATATTGTTATTAAAATTTATTGTTATTTTGATAAAAAAAAATGTCTGTCGGTGTCATTGCGCGTTCTCTCATTATTACTTTTTGCAACGAAAAAAATATATCATTTTTTTTTTGGTTTCATAATCGTGGCGTTTTTCGTTTTGTTAATCTCTTTTTACATTTTCACGTTTTTACATTGCTTTGCTATTTGTCATAACCAATAAAAATTAAGACAGTAAAACATGGCTAAATTGAATCAAATGCTAATATACCATGGCCTAATAAGTATGAACCTAATATTATCGCCCATTTTGGAAGAAAATAGCCCAAACTGTCAAAATGTTTTTGTTTACGTTTTCACACGATTACAAAGTTACCTAAAACCCGACGGGGCGTACAAAAATATTCAACTTCCCCACTATGGCAAAATGTTGTGTACGGCCGTATTACCCAAATACGTCGAATCCATATCTTCAAGCAAATAATACAAACAGCAAAACAAAATTGAACATTTATTAAATTAATCCACATATTTTTAGTTTCCGTTCGAAATTTCAAATTTCCAAAATGTTTTGTTTTTGTTTTGAACAAAAGAAAAAAATTAAAAATACGTTCTGTCAAAGTTGAAATTGTTCAACTTGAAATTTTGTACGTTCGACGTATTTCGGTAACATTCATATAAATACATGTGTTCTACTTTTGTGGTGAAAAACGTCGAACGAGCTAGTTGAATTTTAGGTAATGCCATGTTCTGACGGGCAATCGAACAACGTAGTTCGCTCTCAGAACTACGTACATGAATTAACACGTTCATACGACACTATTCTTAATTCATGTTATCAGAGTTATTTATTTCAAACTTTTTGTTTCTAGTCTTACGCCAAAATTCTAAAATATTTACATGAATCACATATGGATCTAAATAGAAAAAAATATTTTCTTTCTCCTGACTATAGTATGAACCCATATCTATATACTTTTAATTCATGTTTTCCATTTTTTCTGAAAATATTGTTGTTTTCATACATTTTTATATTTTCTAAATTCAAATGTCACATATAAAAATTTGGAGAATTTTTTGTTTGAGTGTCCCCAAATTTGTTTCTTGTTTTGTACGCTAATTAGAACCATGGGGAAAGAAATTCACATTGCATTATGTAGATAACAAAATTTACATCCTGCTGCATATATAAAAACTAGACAATTTTTTACTTTTCATTCATCATTTTCAATATTACTAAAAATGTTTGAAAATTTTATAAATATTTTCAAGCTGTCAAAATTAATTTATTTTCGATAAATGCTCTCAGTTGTTAGGGATGGGACAAATTTCTTGGTGATTCAGAGAGTGATTCGAATTGAACAACGTACAAAAGTCGGTGTTCGCTCACACAATTTTGTATGGGGAACTAAGTAATTACTTCATAATTAAGGGTCGAACAACGAATGAGAGAGCGAACAACGCTCGTCTGTACATGGCATAAGGCTGTAAGACAAATTTGAAAGCATTTTGACAGCTCGGGTGAAATCATTTGGCCTTATCGGACGACCTTATTATTTAGCCATCCACGTAAATACTCCGATTATATTCGTGAAAACATTATGAGTCATCGTGTGATTTTTATTAGATATGCACATGGAAGCTGTGCTTGGTCCACCCTAAAAAAATATTAAAACAAAAAATAAGGAAGAACAAAAAAAAAAAATAAGAGGGGATCAAATTCGGCTGAGCCGATATGTTTGTAATCCTCCACTATAGAAAGAAATCAACTTTGGAAACGTGTGAAACATAGTGGAAGGATCAAAATTGGCTATAAAAGCTTCAAAACACCAACAAAATGATAATTGAAAATTTTACAGACTATTATATTAATTTACAGAAAATTGCCACTTTCGGTTATGAGCCTCTGAGAACTTGAAATATCAAATTTAAGGTTATTTCGCATTTAAGGTTATTAAAGCATATTGAAAATTTCAAAAGAAAGATAATAACTGAAAATAACCCGTTTTTTCGCTCTTCCCTTTAAAGTTATTTTCAACCAGAACTCGCGCCGATTTTTTTTCGAATTTTCACTTTTCCCTTATTTTGAATCAAGCTCGAAAGCGAATAAATATGCTTTGGACATCAATTCACTGTGATTTTTTTCGCTCTTCCCTTTAAAGTTATTCTGAAGCAGAAGTCACAGCGATTTTTTTTTTTTTTTTTTTTGCTTTTTAACTTTCCCCTTTCAAGTTCGAAAGTGAATAATTTTGCATTGCGGAAAAATTAGTTATTCTGGATTACAGTGAGTGGTAGAATGTGATGACATTTTGTGCGAATTTTTTCGCCAATAAAATTAAAGTCAGCTGTTGACTATACAAATATTAGAATTAAATATTGCCACGAAATGTATAAAGGCAATAAGAAATATTTAAACCAAGTTTCGGATTTTATATTAAATGATTCATCATAACACAATTCACCTGTTCTAAATACATAACAGCTTCTCTTAACTCCTCCACCATGTTAGATGATAATACTTTTCATATAGTTAATATTGTTTACTTGGTGTAGTTTTACGCGTTACTTAAATAAACAAATGCGAATCGCAATGTTAAAACAAAAATAACGATTATTTGAGCACGTAGTGTCTAAATAAACATGTCAAAACTGTGATGTGTATATCTCTATTGTGTTGTGAGCACTCGCGACAAGGTTAAGGATGGTGAACTGGTGTGAACTAGCATAACTTTTGGGGCAAGATCTAAGACGCGCGTCGGTGGGGGTTACTTCTTTTCATTTGACTTGTTGGGAAATGAAAAAAATATGTTCCATTGACGTCGGGAGAAATTTGAAGATTTTTTTATTTCTTAAAATGATCAGCTTAATCATGAATACCAAATTCGTATGGAATTTTTCTTTTTTCATTTTCCTTCTATCATGAACAAAAAATTTGCACGGAAAATCAATCCTCAAAGAAAAATTTAAGTATCACCTGTTTCTATATGAAGGAGTTGCCAGATCAAAACAAAATTTAACATGTGTTCATAACTGAGATGGAAGTTTCCAAAACACTTAACTTTTTCCCTGCTTATTCTGCGCTTTCTGTGCTATGCTAAGAACTTTTCGAACTGCCCTCGTACCTTTAATATTTCTTCGTTCCTTCTACACCGTGTGGTTGTGACAAGAAAAAAATCCCCTTCACTTCAATAAATGACCAGTATGTATGTTATATATTTACATATACCGTTAAATACATTACTGAAACACATAAATTTATTTTTATTTTTTTTATAATTCACACGTCATTTTTATTTATATTGATCAGTAATGTGGATAATTTTTCCTTTTCTTGAAAACTGAATTAATAAATCTTAATTAACATTGGACACTTTCACCTGTTGTAATTCCACGTTTTTACGGGAGAGAGGTGAAGTGTAGTAATTTTCATCTCTTAAATCTTAACTAAAATTACAGAATTGAAAAAATTATGTGGAATTGGAATCACAGCCACATGTTCCGAAGTGACAGTAATTTGGCATTTTGTGTTCTTGGTGTTTAAAAAACGTCATAGCAGAAAATATTTGTTTTTGTATTTTGGAATTTAGGTTTCTCAAAATGTAAAAAAAAAACTGGCAAAACTTTCTCAATGTAGGCCCATCACGAGAAACTCGACACATCACTTTGTTCGACAAATGAGGCCAGGAACTTCAAAATATCTAAAACAAAAGGGGAAAAAACATAAGGTGAATATGTTCCTATAATTTTCACCTTTCATTTTAGATGTTTTAAAGGTCCTAGCCTCACTTTTTCAAGAATTTGAAATGTTAAACAATATTCTGGACATCAATTCACAGTGAATTTTTCGCTTTTCTTTTTAAAGTTATTCTGTATCAGAATTCGAAGGGAATTTTCACTTTCCCTTATTCTGAATGAAGTTCGAAAGCGAAAACCATCCGTTTTGGGGAAAAATTAGTTATTCTGGATTACAGGGAGAATGTGATGAAATTTTTTGCGAATTTTTTCCCTAATAAAATATATGTATTAAATATTTGTATGAAAAATATTCTCCACATAAGTCATTCTATGACGATTTTTAATATTACAAATGGTTTTATGCTTATTTTTAACTCAGAAACAAGAAATAAATAGCTATTGATGTCAATTCCTCGTGAATTTACTCGCTTTTCCGCTTCGAATTATTCTGAACAACATTTCACAGTGAATTTTTCGGAAACAAGTTCGAAAGCGAAAAAATCCGCTTTGAGAAAAAATTAGTTATTCTGGATTACAGGGAATGGGGAATGTGATGACATTTTGTGCGGAATTTTTCGCTAATAAATTCAAAGAGCTGACTACAAAAATTTGAGTATTAAATATTTTTATGAAAAATATCTCCACAATAGTTATTGTATGACGATTTTAAATATTATAAATGATTGTATGCCAATTTTTTACTCCAATAATAACAAATAAAATGTCATTGGAAATCCTCAGCCTTATTCTGAGCAACATTTCACAGTGACATTTTTCGCATTCTCGCTTTCACCTTATTCTGATTAACTTTTAATTAATTTTTCTCTTTTTTATTTTTGCATTTTCAGCGCTACAAATGTATGCAACCTGATTCGGAAAGTACCATTAGCCGTAAAGTTGGTGGTAGTGCCCAAAGAGATTTAACTCCAACACAAAAGACTGCTACTGCTGGTGCTAATAAAAAGAATTCCACAATGATTGGTGGTACACCGACCGGTCGTTCCAGTGCTAAACAGAAGACTGATATAAGCCAATATTTTAAGAAATTAGATAATAGTGTAATGACCACTCCCATTACGAATATACTAACAAAGACGACGACACCTGGTGCCAGGACAGAATCACCAGCTACATTACTACTGAATCGCATTAATTCCAATAATTATACACCCTTGATGATGCAAGAGAAGAAAACAGGAAGAACTCAAACTCAAAAAATAACATCGATTACAGCTAGAAACGATATTGAATGCTACGATGAAGAAAGTCGAGATTCAACAACAAATGTCGTCGGCGGTGATATTTCCAAAACCCAAAAAGTTAAAAAAGCTTTGGATTTCTTTCAACATTCTCAAGAAGAAGAGGAGGACAATAGAAATGTTGCAACCACAACCAAAACAAGGCGTCGCAGTAGTATTTTTGCAGCAGCCACTATTATGGATAATGGTAATAATAAAGCACCCCCAATCTCAGAGGATAACGCATCGATGGCTACACCTTCTAAAATCACACGACGTCGTAGTATTTTAGCTGTTGAGGCCACTGAAACAACCACTTTAACGATGCAAACACCAAATAATAAGAATACACGTCGTCGCAGTTCCATACATACACCGAAAAATATGACCATGGAAACACCAAGTAAAAATATACAAATACAACCCATAACGGAAGAAGATGAAAGTAATCATCAGGGAGGAGAGATGTGTGGAAATCAAACAAACTCCTCATCTGCGGCCATAAAGGCCCGACGCACTCTACATGTTGCAAAAACAATGGAAATATCCGAAGCCACCAACACGACGACCTCCTCCAGTAATGCCATAAAAGAAAATCAACCCAAGTCTAGCCTCAGGCGTACCATTAACAGCTATGCCAACAAGAAGAATGCTTCGCCAACAAATGATTGTAGTGGCGGCAATTTGGATTTGAGTAATGTTGCAACCCGGCGACCCACATGCTACAGTGTTAAATCAATGGAAACAAGTAGTATTATAGCAAAAGACGGGGATACTAAACTAGAAAAAACAATTGAAATGACAAATCAATTTTTCAATGTCCTTATGAAAAAGAACGAACAACCTAACGAGCCTCCAAAGACAGTCGCCGCCACCACAAATCGTCGTCGTACCTTGTATACCCCGAAAAAGGTTAGCGATAGTACATTTTCAAAAACGAATGGTGGTAGCCAATCATCTGCTGAGGAGGGTTTGTGTATTACGCCCACAGCCAGCAATATGCATGGCAAAGTGGTGGCCTGTTCAACACTCTTGGAGGAGGAGGAGAGTAGGGAAAAACCTAAGCTTATGGAAACGCCACCAGCAAATGCCACAACTGGCAAGTTACTTGAAGAAACTGTGGAATGTGCAACGCCTTTGATTTTTAGTTCCACTCGTCAACCGGGCAACAAGAGGCGTACACTCTTCGATGTTTCAATGGATATTATAACACAGCGTTTGCAGTGTATCAATCAATCGGCTAGACGTTCGTTAGCCCCAACCACAACAACACTCATCGGCGGCGATGATGACAATGCCGATGTTAAATCGTGTAACACACCACCCTTACCTGAAACCCTTGTTGGAAATCGTCAAGCCTCATTCGATTTGGAAAACTCCAATAGTTCCGATCAACACAATGTTACAATTAGTCGTGGCGAATCAATTGAAAACAATGATAGCAATGGTTCGACACCTGCACTCCAGAAAAAACGTAAATTGTTCGCACCAAATGAGCTGTTGACCCCACCGCCCATAAATATACCCGCTGCTGCCGTTTCCGAACAAAAGAAACGTCGCCGAACATTACTGCCACTCTCACAAACCATACTATCAACATCCTCCACCATGTCGACAAACGATCTCCTCTCGGCTACTAACGAGTCCTCGCCTCAAGTGCTTAAACGGCGTAGCACATTGGATTTTGAACAAATTAAAAAATATCAAAATAAAATGTCACGGAAAACTCAACAAGGAGTAGAGGCCAATACTGGTGGTGGTGTTGGTGGTAAGCATCTAAAGGCCAAAAAGCCAACCGGCCTAGTCTACACGAATATGCATAGCGAACAAATCGATGTTATACGTGAGGTTGGTACACAACGTTAATGCATGATTTACTCCTCCCCCACTTGTACTTCTTCTCTTTCTAATATTTTCTTTTTTTGTTTGAAAGTTATTAAAAAGCAAAACTGTGTTTTGGCCTATCTCTCTGTAGCATTCAATCAGCAACCCTTACTCTAGCCAACTACCTCTATCTTTTTTATATTACACAAAAATCTCCTAATATTATATTCTTATCACAATTTCATTGAAATCTACACTGTATAAATATGCAACAACAACTATTTCTGTTATTGTATTTACTAGTTACATTATTATCATTTTCTTTGTTTTTATTATTATTCTTTTAATAGTTTTTATTTGATATTAAGTATAATTTTGTTTTCATTGAATTTCAATATAATTTGCAATAATATATAAAAAAGCATATTTAAAAAAATAACTAAACTAAACTTGTCTTTAGATCTCAAATTTTTTTTTCTCTCAACTGATTTTTTAATGAGGTTCCATGAGGAAGTTTTTTGAGTTTTTGTTTAATAATAATACTAATCGTTTTGTTTTCAATGAAGTTCAATATTATTTTGCAATAATATATATAAAAATTTATTTAAAAATAGCTAATATCTCGAATAGTGTTTTTCTCCGAAAAAAAAAGTTTAGCAAAAGTTGAAAATCTACAAAACTTGTTCAGATGTTATTCAAAACATTTCAATTGAAATTCGAGAATTTCAATTCAATTTGCAATTCATGGCATTTCATTTGCAATTTTAAACTTTTCATATGAAATTCAAAAAATTCCATTTGAAATTTAAAGAATTTCATTTGTGATTCGTTTTTTTTTATTTTAATTTCGTAGAGTTTCATTTCACTTGTAATTCATAAAAATTGTAATTCATAAATTCTGAACAACATTTCACAGTGAATTTTTTTCGCATTCTCGCTTTTGCCTTATTCTGAATGAGGTTCGGGAGCGAAAAAATCCGCTTTGTGGGAAAAATAGTTATTCAGGATTACAGGGAGTGCGAGAATTTTTTCGCTAATTTTGAATTTGAATTTATTAGCGAAAAATTTCGCACAAAATTTCATCTCATTCCCCTACTCCCTGTAATGCAGCATACATAATTTTTCCCCAAAGCGGATTTTTTCGCTTTCGAACTTCATTCAGAATAACGCGAAAGCGAGAATGCTAAAAAAAAAATCACAGGAAAATGTTGTTCAGAATTAGTCGAAGGTGAAGAGCGGGTAAATTCACGTGGAATTGGCATCCAGAATAAGGCTGATTGTGTTTGATTTTTATTAGCTTCTAATTCAATCCCAGTTTCACAATGTTTGACAACATGATTGAGACTGTAAAATTGGTATTTTGATTCTACATCCAGATTGTTTTTAAAATTCCTTGCACCCATTTAAACAATTAAAACTATGAAAGTAAATATGTTATTATTTATACAAAAACTGTCATTATGTTCATTAATCTGTGAAAGATTTTTTTATTTATTTATATATGTATTCCAATAAATGAAACCATTACAAAATTTTCAAAATTCTTTTGTTGATAAAATTTATTTGTTTTCTTTATTTTTTGTATATAGTTGAATATCTAAAATTATTTATTTAATTTAATTTACAAATTTTGATTTCAAATACTATAGCAAATAAAAAAAATATATTTTGTTTTGCAATTAATTTAATAAGAATTCAGTTTGTTATACATTTTGTAGGTAAAAGGTGATGCACGACATTATCTACAGCGCCTAAAAGTAGACTTTGAATTTCTGACAATACGTAATTAGAAGCAAACTTAAATTACTTGCTTCCAAAGTGAACACAACTATGGAAATATTATTTATAATTCTGTTATATTAAAAATTAAGGCGTATGCATGAATTAAAGGGACTCCCACCCCATTTCAATTTATTTACGATTTTCAATCGGCTTTCAAATGGATGTGCATTACATTGAAGACTTGTAACTTTACAATATAGGGACTTGGCTTATGGCTTAAAGGATGATAAAATAAATTGACATAATTTTGTTGCTGTTGTTTTGTAATTCTTTTTTTTTCTTCTTTTGTTATTTCCGATCACTGGAACATCCGATTCCAAAATTGCAACAAGGCACTGTTACGAGAAAACACGTTTAAAGTTTGAGAAGCACTCCCCAACAAAAATAATTGATTTATAATAATAAATAATAAAAGCTTGGAATTGATTATTTAGTATAGTAAATAAATTAATAATCGTAAATTCTATATGGAGCAAATAAAATGTCCATCAAGCATTTTATATATCACTAATTTCACTAAATTAAGGTTCGATTTGAGAAAATGGGTCCACAACGTCTGCGAAAATGAATGAAAACATAATCAGCCTTATTCTGGACATCAATTCACCGTGAATTTTTTCGCTCCTCCCTTAAATGTCATTCTGAACCAGAACTCGCATCGAATTTTTCCCAATTTCGATTTTACCTTGTTCTGAATCAAGTTTGAAAGCGAAAAAATCTGCTTTGAGGAAATATTAGTTATTCTGGATTACAGGGAGTGGGAAATGTGATTACATTTTGTGCGAAATTTTTCGCTAATAAATTTAAAGTGAGCCCGACTACAAAAATATAAGTATTAAATATTTGTATGGAAAATATCTACACAATATTTATTCTATGACAATTTTGAATATTATAAATGGTTGTATGCATATTTTTAACTTAAAAACAGCAAATAAAATTACATTGGAAATCCAATTGATAACGATGCATGCTCGAACCAAATATTCCCACAGAAGGTATATAGTTAATAAGGAATAATTAAATTTAAGCCGAATTTGATGCAATTTGGAGGCATTAAAAGTCATTTTGTGAGAGGATCGGCCTCCCCAGAAAAAATTTTAAAAATTATGGCAAAACCACATTGCCAAATTTTTCTGATGAACCGCTTACCAGCGAAAAACTCACTGCATGATTTGAAGGACGAAATAAGGGAGGAGGGCGGAAAATATCATAAAATAATTTGTCACTTTAAGAATTTGGAAAGATAATTAAATAAAAATCGCAAAATCGCAGATTTCTTCCTATTATTCGTTGTGTCTTTGACATCGTTCAATGCAATTTTTGACATCTTAAAAAATGTTCTTTTATTTGTAATCTATTGTAGTTGTTGCTCCAAATTGCATCAAAACAATAAACAGCTGTTTCAAATGCCATATTGTATGTTGCCATATTTTCAAACTTTAATTTACTTTCTTTTCTAAAGGAGCTATGGGTCTATCTCGTTTCCTTTTGCCTGTTACAAACATAATATGGAAACAAGATAGACTCATAGTTCCTTTAGAGAATATGCATAGAATCAATACAAAAATGTGTATAAGTCATCTATTTTTTAATCGTTTTTTTGTTTTTTTTTTTCATTTTTGAAAGCTTATTTAATTTTCTTCCCCGTATAATATAATAAAACTTATACGGCTTGATATCATAATTTCATCGTACAGTCCGAAGAAAAAAAATTTTTATGAGTAGTTTTTCACATTTCAACTGCTGTAACTCAGCCAATCCTCAACCGATTTACCAAATATATATCTTGTTTGAAATTTGAATTTTCGTGTTCCAGGGACTCCAACTAAACAGAATTGGTACATTAAAACCCCTGAATAAATTTTGTTGTTGTTTTGTAGCATAGTGAAATGTTTGTAAAGGAAAAAAGGCGTTTGGCAATATATTTGCAATAATAAACATAAAATTGCATGACCAATAATTTATTAGACAAATAATACCAAATTAGTTTTTGTCTGCTTAGTTTTTTATTTATTATTATTATTTATATTTTGTTTGTAAATGTTCCACATTTATCATACAGGTTAGGCTGTCAAATTATTACTTATATATGTACTTACTTACCTTTTCCCTCCATAACTAGTTTATCGTTATTTGAACACAATTTATCATTTGCCAATTTTCTATATATATATTTTTTTTACTTTAATAGGTTGTCAATAAATTATCGGCATTCGACATTGAACAAACTGTTACCGATAATACCACACATTTGGTATCCTTGGAGCCAAGAAGAACAATGAATTTATTGCGTGCCATTTCAAGAGGATTATGGGTGGTCGATTATAATTGGATATTAGATTCGCAAAAGGCTGGAGAATGGTTGCCGGAAGAGCCATATGAATTGCGAAGTTTTTCACGAGCTGTAGAGGTGTGTAGGGTTAATTAAAAATCCTTTTTATATTTCAGAATATTGAAATAGTTTTAGTTATTACAAAATTTAAATTAATTTGAAAAAATCCTTCTTTTACAGATCTGTCGCTCGGAGCGTCAAGCATTTGGTGAACATTATAAATGCGAACTATTTCGTGATCTTGGAGCTTTTTACATTTCATTGCGCTGTTATCCGGTCACCAAGAACGATTTGTGCGAATTGATAACATTATGTGGCGGTCGTTTGGCACTTAGTCGCAATAAGGCAAAATACATTATTGGTGACACCAATCAATCGCTGGAGGATAAGATTTACGTCACACCCTATTGGATATTGGATAGTATATCTCAAATGCAAATAATGAAAATACAAAAATATTTATGTGTAAAACCGGGTGAAGAAATGCCCCTACCAACATCGCCGGTTGTAGTTAAGGCCACAGCACAAGTAGAAAACTAACTTTCTATTTGCTTGTTGCAATACACACAACGTTTTCAGTTGTATTTTAAAATGTTATAATACATTTAATTATGATGTATTTACATCGCGATATACAAATGTTACAACACATACATAATTAAATATATTTGTTACGATTAATATAGTTTAATGTAGTTGGCCAAACAAGTTATCTTCAAACTTTTTATAATTAAAATATAATTTGTTTTCTTTTTGGTAAAGAATTTTTGTATACAATATACACATGCATATCGTATATTATAAAATATACAATATATATATTTTTTTAAAATAAAGCATTATTTTAAGTTATATTTTTCTTCGATAAAAAAAAATAATAGTCTTTTGCAAAAGTCATTGTAACTTGTAAATGCAATAATAAAATATATTTTTTAAATTAAATTTTTTAACTGTTAATTCATTTATTTTAATTTAATTAAAAACGATCCTTATTCTGGATATTCGTTAGGGAGAGATCTCGCTTGTGCAAATTTTGTTTTTTTTTTCATAATTTTGAAAAAAAATTTCTTGATAGACAGAGAGAATGTTCCTCACCCAAAATGTTTGTATTTCGCCTCCAAAATGCACCAAACTCGACTTAAATATTCCTTTTATTGCCTTCATACATTCCTTGGCAATATTTGATTTAGCATGCATCGTTATAAATAGAATTTCCAATGGCATTTTATTTGTTGTTTTCCAGTTAAAAAATTGCATACAATCATTTATAATATTGTAAATCGCCATAGAATTAGTATTGTGTAAATTTTTTTCATAAAAATATATATTACTTATGTTTTTGTAGTCAGCTCCCTTTGAATTTTTTAGCGAAAAATTTCGCACAAAATTTCATCTCATTCACGTGGAATTGACATCCAGAATAAGGCTGTATATTTTTGGTTTTTTTAATAAATAAATGACCTATTAATTTCTGCAATTTACGGATATTTAACACACCAATATGGGCGTCAGATCATGAAACCCTTGAGGTCCAGGATCACAATTTGTTGTACTACGGATAAATTTCAAATGTAACCGTTTTAGATGTATGGTAAATATCAAGTTTCTTTGGAACATCATCATTACGACCGCAAAATACAAACCATTCAACAGGTGATGGACTTCCACCTGTTACCAATCCATAACATTTCTTACACACACGTATTTGTTGTATAGCACATATATATTTTATTTTAATTTTTTTGCATCTTTTATTCGACAGTCAGAAATAAGCAAATACATTTCTCGAGCTATTCTTTTGTAAATTCAATAAAAACAGTTTGTAAAATAATGTATCTCTGCTGTTCGGTTATGGCCAGTCATCGTGTTTTGCTGTGGATGATGATTACATATTTATAAAAACAAGATGATTACCATGTAATATTCATTCAGAAGGATTGTAGTTATTTGTTTTGTACTTCAGTTTTGTGGAACGATAGATATCTTCTCTAGTCATCTCGTGGGAGTCATTTGTACTTTCGTTGACAATGTAAAATATGTTAAGTTAATTTGTCTGCTTGCTATGGAAAAACTAAAGGAAGTCGATTGGTTGGCTCCATTCACTGCTGCTGGCTACATTTTGTATAGGGAAGGAGGATGGTGGTGGTGGCGATATTTAAATGCATATCTGGTGGTGTTGAAGCAACTAATTTGTGATTCCAACTAATGCAAAACTAAAGAAACCAAATAAAACCAAACAAAAATCAAACCAAACGAAAAAAAATCCAATGAAAAATACAACAAAGGAATTAAAACCATAATCAAATTGTTAAATTCCTTGCCTACTACTCTCTCCCTCTCACATCTCGCATCATCACTATTAAATCAATTCATTTGCAAAGTTCTTTTTTTTTGGAAAAGTATAAATAGTTGGTTATGTATTTATGCAATTACATTTCTATAGGCTAAAAACACATTTATATTGTGTTATAAAAGATCTTAAGGTGTGTGTTCATTTTATGACAATTTCATAAATTCTTTAGTAGTCACAGATGTTTTTTTTAAAGTTTTTAGTTTTCTTTTATTTACGAGTAGTAGAGATGGAATGAATTCCAACATAAGATAATTATAAAAAAAGAAAAATTATTACAAATAATAATTAAATTATATAGTAATTAAATACATATAAAAAAGACTTAAATGCTTAGAGCTGTTGCGCGCGCTTAGTAAAAGAATGAATGACAGTTTCTTTGTGGGCCACACACCTGGACCAATCACCACACCTACGCCATCATAGGTGACAAAAACGCACTGCGTTCGGGAACCCTGTTCTGGCATTGGGAATGATGAATGGTGGGCGGCGACTACATATTTGTTTGTTCTCACTTCTTTGTTAGAGGAGGAGTATATTATTTAGCAGGGGCGACAACAGCATTCGTTTCCTGCGAAACTCTTTGCGATGGAAGCAATTAAATTTTTCTTTGACCATTAAAATTAACTTATGCTGGAACATCTTTACGTTGTTGGTAGTTAATGCGGTACCTCTAGTTGTTGTGTGGTTGTTGTTGCTGCTACATGTTGCTGGTGGAGTTTGTAGAATAAGTTGGTTGGAAAAGATGCAATTTGCTGCAGTGTTTTGTTGTTGTTGATGTTCAGAGTAAAGCAGCTACTTCTTGCCCTTGGTGGCCTTTTCGGCGGCCTTGGTGACCTTGCCACCGGAGGCATCCTTGAAGTTGACGGCCTTGATGACACCGACGGCGACGGTTTGTCTCATGTCACGAACGGCGAAACGACCCAATGGGGGGAATTCTTGGAAGGATTCAACGCACAAGGGCTTGGATGGGACCAAGTTGACGATGGCAGCATCACCAGACTTGATGAATTTGGGGTTTTCTTCGGTGGTCTTACCGGAACGACGATCGACCTTCTCCTTGATTTCAGCGAACTTGCAGGCAATGTGAGCGGTGTGACAATCCAAAACTGGAGTGTAACCGTTGCAGATTTGACCAGGGTGGTTCAATACAATAACTTGAGCGGTGAAATCAGCAGCACCCTTGGGGGGAGCGGCCTTGGAATCACCAGCGACATAACCACGACGCAATTCCTTGACGGAGACGTTCTTAACGTTGAAACCAACGTTGTCACCGGGCACGGCTTCAGCCAAAGCTTCGTGATGCATTTCAACGGACTTGACTTCAGTGGTGATGTTGGCAGGGGCGAAGACAACAACGGTACCGGGCTTCAAGACACCAGTTTCGACACGACCGACGGGTACTGTGCCGATACCACCGATTTTGTAAACATCCTGCAAGGGCAAACGCAAAGGCTTGTCTGTGGGACGGGTGGGTGGCAAGATGGCGTCCAAGGCTTCGATGAGGGTCTTGCCTTCAGCGTTACCTTCCTTACGTTCGACCTTCCAGCCCTTGAACCAGTTCATGTTGGTGGAAGCTTCCAACATGTTATCACCGTGCCAGCCGGAGATGGGGACGAAAGCGACGGCAGCGGGATTGTAACCGATCTTCTTGATGTAAGAGGAGACTTCCTTCTTGATTTCTTCGTAACGAGCTTCGCTGTATGGTGGTTCAGAGGAATCCATCTTGTTGACACCAACGATCAATTGCTTGACACCCAAGGTGAAGGCCAACAAGGCGTGTTCACGGGTTTGACCGTTCTTGGAGATACCAGCTTCGAATTCACCAGTACCGGCAGCAACAATCAAGACAGCGCAATCAGCTTGAGAGGTACCAGTGATCATGTTCTTGATGAAATCTCTGTGACCAGGGGCATCAATAATGGTGACATAGTACTTGGATGTTTCGAATTTCCACAAGGCAATATCGATGGTGATACCACGCTCACGTTCGGCCTTCAATTTATCCAAAACCCAGGCGTACTTGAAGGAACCCTTACCCATTTCTTGGGCTTCCTTTTCGAATTTTTCAATGGTACGCTTGTCGATACCACCGCACTTGTAGATCAAGTGACCGGTGGTGGTAGATTTACCAGAATCGACGTGGCCAATGACGACAATGTTAATATGAGTCTTTTCCTTACCCATGGCTGTTTGATTGGCTTACGAGCTGGTGATGTGTTGTAAAGGGAGGAGTGTTGTGTGTGTTCATGATGGGGAATTTGGTTGGTTGGTTGATTCGGGATAAAACAAACAACGACAAGCAGGAGGTAATTGATTGGTTGATACATAAAAAAAAGGAAACGAAAAAATGGAAAGAAAAACATTTTTGTTAGCATATGTTGTTGTAGGAAAATAGGGTAATTCTGGCTTATTTAAGAAATACATTTTTGGGAATTCATTTATTTAATTGGGATTTTAATAAAATTAATTTAAAAGATTTTTATTTAATTTAATGCTAAATGGATGTTCTTTAACAAATAAAGTGTTGGGGTAGTATTGCAGGAGAGCAAACGAAGAACATAACCTCAAACAACAAAATGTGATAGAGAAAAAAACGTGTTTGCAAAAACCACGTTTTTCCGTTTTCCAACACTAGAGGGAAACGCAAATTACTTTTAAAGGTTATTTTATAGCACGGATACGATAAGAAAATGGAAACAAAAACCGGAAAAAGTGTAATGGGGTAAAAAAAAAAATACATGCAAAATGATATAAAGTAATTAAATAAATGAATATTTCCAAAAATATGGCAATTTTTCTGAGATTTAATTTTTTGCTTCAGTGGGTTTGGTATTTGGGTTTCCTCACAAAACTCAGTAGCAGAACTAGACAATTTAGTCATCATGCAAAAAAAATCTCAAGAAAATTGCAATTGAAGACAATTAAAAAAATTAAGCAATTCATATACAAGTGAAGCTTGAGGAAAAATATCAGCAGACTACAACGGACGATGACACGTTGTAATAAAAAAGTGGGTGGCTGGCTGGGGGAGAGCTGTGGTGAATGGCATCATGTATGCCGGCGGCTGGTGGGGAAAGGCACCGCACACACACACTATCCCCCCATGGCATGAGTAAGCGGCAAACAATGATGGAAAAAAATTTCCAGAAGTTGTGAAACTCAATCATCGTGTGTCTATATAAAATACTTATACATTTCTATCTACACCACCACACACACATTCACACGCATGCATGGGCATACTTGAATGGCTGGGGCTGGCTACTTGCTTTGCTTGTGGTGTGTATCTATACGACGAAAGAGAGAGAAATGGCGACGACCGCAAAAAACGAGGTCGTAAAACACACATTTCAAATATAAAAGAATTCTGTTGTAAATGCCGGTGGTGTGCTTTTCCATAATTGTCCACAGAAACCATCATGATGATGATGATGATGGCAGAATGTTGAACAAAAAAGAGGCCATATAAAAATGGCGAACATATTGCTTTTCTAATGCCCAGTTGTTTGAAAGTCATCCATCCAGCCAAGCCACACCAACAACAACAATGCCTCTCAGCCGATCGTGAAATTCTTTCAAGCACCTAGAAACACGATGCTTCTGCTGGATTATAAAAACGACGCCATTTTGAAAAGAAAAAAGAAAACGTGTTTTGGCATGGTTGGTGGTGACTGCTGGCTTGCCATAGGAATGTGTGGATGAAGATTAAAAAGTCATCATGGCTGGAAATTGCAATGTTGGATCGCTTGTTGCCATGTCACATTCAAAGAACTGGGAGAAATTTGAACTTTTCACCATCATTGCTTTCTTTTTTGTTTCAAGAAGTTTCTCAGCCGGCAAAAATTATCACTTGAACTAAGTATGACGCCATATTGGATACATAACCTCAACTTGATTGTTCATGATGATACCAATATGTTAGAACACATTTTATCACAATATCTTTTGTTAAATCTGCTGATATCTATATTTATACGATTTATAAGATTTTTTAACAAATATAAATGCAGGGAGCCATATGTTCACAAAAAAATTATAGATATATCACAAAGTGGGCGTGGTTTTCTCAAATTTCAGTGTAAATTAATTAACATTTGTTTTATTGCGAATATTTTTCGTTTTTTTTTTTTGCAAAATAATAAAAATGAAACATGAATTTGTTTGCCACGTGCTTTAGAGTAAAATCATCTGTATGACCGTTCTTTCACACATTGCTTTTAACCACATTTTTTCTTACGCACACATTTGTAACACGTCTCTTTTTCTTTTGTTAACATATTTCACCTGCATTTCTTATTTTTTCCAGAAAAGGTGGGAAATTGTTTATATTTTTTTCAATATTTGTTTACTTCACTTTTGCCATTAGGTTTTTATCAAATTTAGATTTGCTTAATTTTTTAAGAACTTTTATCTTTGTTACACTATTAAGACACATTTTTTTTTTTGTTGATGATGACTTACTTTCCAAATAAATTGAACCGAGAAATCACAAAGTCTATGCTTATCCGGCAAAAGACCTGAACAAAGTGAACGAGAATGATGTTGCAATGAAAGGACAAGCCTCGGCAAGAAGCACGCCACGTCAGTAATGTAAAAACGTACGATGAACTGCAGCCAACTTCACTGGCATGCCCACGTTTTTTGGCATATTTATGGGTTGGCAGCAATGCACAAATACAGCTCTATCACAACAAATAACGTTGGACGATTTATTGTACGATTTTCTTACTATATAATTATATTTATTAGTTTTTCTTTGTAAAAATTATGATTTTTAATGTATTTTCATTAACATAAGATAAATTTCAATACAAGTTGCTCTATTTATGAATCTAGAAGTATAGAATTTTTACTAATTTTTTAATAAAATAAGCGTAGATGCCTCAAAGAGACACGTTCAATTTGCCATCAAACCCGTATCAAAACCACATGTTACATGTGCTTTTTTATTAAAACTATTTTTCCATAAAATTAATTCCCAATATTATATCCAGAAATATGACGTACAGAACTGGAACAGACTCTTTCCGTAATGCAAGAATCTACATGTATTTACTACGATAGTAAAATATTATATATTATTAGTTAGCAGGAAAAGAATTTGAGTAGTCATGATGTAATGCAGATTTAAACTTGTTTAAAATATCTAACATATTATATTTATAAGAATTTGTTTTAGAGTAGCTATGATTTAAGATGAATTATTTGTTATAATATATAAATCTGCCATTAAATTGTAATTTTGCTTCAATTACAAAGTAAATACAGACGAATTGAAATGAATAGAACAATAAAAACTATTTATAAGCTTTACAAATTTTTGGAAACTATAGTAAAAAAATATTTGCTTTCCATGTTCTGGATCAAATTGATATCTCAGAAAACGTAATGCCTTGGCTAATTAGAAAATTCGTCCCATACAACAAAAAAGTTTAAAACTAATTGAGGAAAATAAGAATAATACAACTCTGTACAGGTATTATTTGATGTCACATTTCCCTACAACCATGGTACAATAACATCAATGGTGGGCAAAATTTCTCTTAAAAAATGTTTAATTGAAAATAAAAACAAGAATTATTCTGCGGAATTTATTTAATTTAATATTTTTAAAACATAAATAACATCTCAGGAAGTTCAAAAAATAAATTCATTAAAAAAATTGTGGAAAAATTTTCACAAAGGTTTATTTTTGTTTTAACATCAAAAATGTTAAGAGAACGCATCAACGCTGGTGTGCAAGTCTGCCCAAATATGAATAACATCCAAAAAACTCTGAGCGAAGTGACATTATCCGTCAAATATAAAATAAATATACGCTACAAGTTGTATTTATTTGGCATATTTTAACATATGAATAAAATATAATGATTATTGATTCCTAAAATTTTTGGTTATATATTGAAAAAAAAATGGCAAATATACACAATGATGTGTTGCGAACATTTATCTAACCATATTGATAATTCAATCAAAGACTCGACAAAATGCATTTTGACAAAATAGTTTTTGAAAACATATTTAGCATAACCGTGGCATGTTAACAATAAAAACGACAATAAACCAAAATGTGTGTCTAAAAATCAAAAATCTGGACTCAAAATATATGTTTTCATTTTAGCGCTTAAAACGTTTAACATTGTTCACTCTATTGTTATGATATCATAACAACAGAGGAAAAGCCTTTTATTGGAATTTGTCGACGTATCAATTGTCGTATATTTATACTTGTATATCTTTGATTTACATTAGAACTTTTTACCGGGTTAACCTACTTTATGAGGATTTATTTGACATATATGCAAAGGAAATGACAATTGAAACCCACTGGGTTAACGAAATCCGGTTAAATGTAAACGTACTACTGTTCAAAAATTGGTAAAACTTTTTAAATTTATAGAGAGAATATTTAAAACAACTTCGATCAATAAGAGATAACTGTTCATGAACATAATTAAAAATACTTTGACAAATATGCAATGGAATTAACAATTAAAATTCACTAAATCCCGTACAATGTAAATGTACTATTATTTTAATAAAACTAATGCCACATTTTGTTGTGTTATGGAGATACAGTCATGGAACATGGACAGCTTAAGTTGAATAACAGAAAATACAATTATCTTGGTAATGGCTTCTTCTGTCACATTAAAAAAGTGATTGTGTTTATTTGTATTTTTCAACACATAACAAAAAACGCAAAACAGAAAATGAAATCGTTCTATTCACGTGACATATATTTTGAATTTTTTCTAACAACGCGAAAAATGAATGGAATGACAGGTTTTTTTTCAAAATCAATTTGGCAATATGATTTAGATATTGATTCATCCTATCATACATTTCTTCTTACCAATGTTGTAAAATGAATTTTTCATGATAATATTTTCCTTCGAAATATACGCATGATATATACATATATATCATGTGTTCAGAGGCAAAAATGCTAAATCATTTATATTTATAAATATTTTGAAGTTCCCTGCCACTAAAACTTATAAATATAAGTTGTAACAACCATGGTTAAATCCATGGCGTAATTACACAGGGTAGTCTCATGCAGACATATGACTCCAATTTTTTCATAATTTCACTTTTGACAACATTCAGCTTTCAAAATTTAAATAACTACAAAATGTTAAATATTTTGAAGTTCCCTGCCTCTAGAATCTATAAACATAAGTTGTAACATCTATAGTTATATTTTAAGAACAATATAAATCAAAAAAAAATAGATATTTGTTTACAGAAAGTATACATTTTTAATTTTTTAAAAAATATGTCATTCGACATGCATAAAAATTTATGGAATTTATTTTTCAAACAATTTGATATTGATAGATGAGTTCCAAATTAAAAAGGGCTGCCATTAATAATTTCTCAAATGAGACTACCTTCTGTAATTATGCCATGGGTAAATCTTGAAACAATGTTTTGTTGAAAATATGCCAATCGACATATACAACATTTAATGGAATTTATTTTTTTTAATTCATATATGAAGGGGTTGCCATAATCAATTTATCAAATGAGACTACCATCCATAATTATGACATGATATTCTTCAAAACATCACCCACAGAGTCGCACATTTTTTATACGACTTTGACATAACAAGCCACAATATGAAAAAAATGTAATGTATAAGTTGCTAATGTATAATAATTATACCATGGTTTCATTCATAACAAAGTAATTCCATTGTACAATAACACAAAGAAGGACAACTTGACTTGAATAAATAAATATAAAATAAATGCACGCAACAACTTATTGTGTTTATTTGTCATTTTTCAACACATAAGTCCGCTTTTCCACAGGCAGATTTTTATTTGGCAATTTTTTTGTTTTCTCTTTTGAAATTTTCGCTTGCTTTTCCATTAGCAAATTTTTCTTTGCCAAATTTGCGAATCAAAATACAAAAGCAAGAAAAAAAACGTCAAAAGTGTTTGCATTTTAAAGATTTTTTTAATATTTTATTTATTTTTTATATATTTTATTATATAAATTGCAAAAATTAAATTTCACTTGCACAAATTAAAGCAACAGGTTTGTAAACAAAAGCCGGCTGTGTGTCAGTAAAGCGAATAGGTTCAAAAGGAAATGTCAACAAAATTGTTTTCTACACAGAATTTGCGTGTAAAATTCTGAGAAAAATTATTGAAAGTTAGTATTTGCCAAATAAAAATTTTTGATTTCTAAAAACGAGAAAAATTTATGAAAGTTCCCAAAATCCAGTAGGATACATAAATGTTTATGTATTTCATTCGTAACAAAATAATTACTTCTAAAGCACCGCGGTAAAAATCTTTTTCAATTTAATAAATTTTGAATTTATTTCAATTTAATTTGAATTTATTGGACGCCACTTTGAAAGTCATTTTGAGAAAAAAAGTTAATCAGATGGTAGCTATGATCTACCTTGTAATAATCATATTTGGAAATTAATTTTACAGAAAAAAAAAATCTGTCATAAGGAAAAAATAAAGGTTTATGTCAAGGTTTATTTATGTAAGGTGTAAGTGAAAATCATAGTTTACATTTAACCAAAACGTATCAGACAAAATAAGAGATGCATTTTAAATTTTGATTTTTTGATTAACCAAGTGGGTTTCAATTGTCAATTCCTTTCCATATATGTCAAATAAATCTCGTAAAAAGCTCTTATGAATATGCAGTTTTACCCCTTTTATACTACAGTTGAACCAATGCAAAATTTACATAAAATCGGAAAGAAATATATATCCTCATATTTAGCACTTGTCATTCTATGCTCAATTTGTTATCCTATATCTAAATCGGAGCAGATTTCTACAAAACTTTTTTTTAATTTTAAAGACAGTTGGTTTTTATTGGGCTAAGAAATAAAATTTTAGGCTCAATAGGGTTCGTCCTTTGGCCAAATAAATGATGTGTCAAATTTCATTTCATTCAGATCATTGATTACAATAATGCAGAAACAGAAGGACAGACATTATTAAAATTACTCAGAAAGTAATGCTATGCATTTTCCCAATAGTCGTTCTCGTTTCTTTTTGGATGCCAAAACTATTTGCACAGACATGATAGTGTAGAGTAGGGCGTAGAAATTTAAAGTAATTGTTTACAGAATTTAATTTCTAACAGATGTTATGTCTAACATATATTGCAATTTAATGTTAATTTGTTTTGGATTGCAAAAATTTGTTTGCCAAATTAGCATTGTTTTTAATTAGGCAATAACTGTAATCTAGATACCAAGCGATTTGTTCTCAGTTTAACATTTGTACATTTCAGTGCGTTAGTCGGTCTTGACCCATATCAATGTCCAAACTTATTTACAATGAAATAATAATTGTTTAAATTTTACTTGGACTTGACACATAGTTTACCTACCTTTACCAATTCATAACACATCAAATTTTCTGCTAGTTATAAGTACACGTAGATAAAGCATTAAAATGGATTCCTATAAATCAGCTTCCATTTTTCAAATAAATTTGCTAAGAATTCTATCAATTTGTCATTTCATCAAACTTCGATTCAAGTTAAATAACAATATCAAACGTTTTTGGATTTTCATTAAATTTCAATGTATTATGTTATATTCATATTATTTTTCACAATCCAAAAACTTCAAAACAATTATACTACAATACATCTTCCATCTTCTGCACCCTTTTATCCAAAATGGTTATACCACTCTATCGAATGTTCTTAAGCTTCATAACCATCGGGCAAGGCGTTGGCGTGTGGGTTGTGGAACAAGGATTTGTTGCCTTCACCCCAGGGGAAACGCTTGTCGCGCTTGGCCAAGTATTCGTATTTAACGAATTCTGGACGGGCATGGTGAGCGTGTTCTTGATGACCCAAGTAGGCGTTCAACATGCACAAACCGACAGCAGGGAATGCCACGAAGAAAGTCATACGCTTCCATAATTTGTAACCACCTGAAAATAGCGAAAGAATATTATTATCAATGAAATGTATTTGTAATAGTTTTCATAATCCTGGAGATTTTTACGAATTTTTCATTTACATTACATAACCTCCTTAACCTTATATTGAAAGTGAATGAAAAATCCAAATTTCTCTATTTTTATTGGATTTTGTTCTTTTCCATATTTACCAGAGTGTTCACCGGCGGTGGCAGCATGACCAGAGGATCTTTGGGCAGTTGTCGCAATTTGGCGACGAATAATTTGGGACAGGATGGCAGACATTTTTCCTTGGATAAAAATGTAAAACACACAGTGTTGAAGTTTTTCTTTCTATCTGACGGGCAGAATATTTTTTTGACAATGTCAAAATAGTGGAACGCGTTGCCAACCATTGTTCAACATTGTGGGGCATATCGGCCTAATAAAAACATTCGCGTATAGCGTAGGGCGTAAACTTATAATGTTTTTGAGTACAAATAACAATATAAAATAAGAAATTAAAATATAAAATGTACAATTTTAAAAACTCTATGAATCCATCAATTCAACTAAGTATAATAATTAAAGTAAAACTTTTAAAGTTTATTTAGGAAAAACAAAAGTTGTTTTGATTATTAGAAAATTCTTGTAGGTTTTGGAGCTCGTTTAGACTTATAAACTACTCATTAATCCTGTAATGTCACGTTAATCCTGTAATGTTTTGAAAAATACAAAAAAAAATCCAAAAACCATTTGTTTAAAGATGAAATATAAACATTGTTAAGATGTTAAAAATATGTCAAATTAAGAGAAAAAATATTTGCACCTTTTTTATTTATTTTGACATTATAGTCTAAAAGGTAGGGGTGTATTTTTTCCCGTTATTGACAAAAGATACCATACAGCATGGTACAATAATATAAAGTAGGGCAGCTTGATGTGAACAACAAAAAATCAACTATGCACGTGTGGCTTCTTCTGCCAAAAATAAAATAAATATACGCAACAAGTGTTTGTGTTTATTTGACATTTTTTCAACACAAAACTAAAAACGCGAAAAATGAATGAAAGGTTATGATTTCTTCCCAAAATCCAGTAGGGAATACCATAAAATGTTTGTTTCATCCATAACAAAGTAATTACTTCCAGACGAACGTGTTAAAAACATCATTTTCATTTCAATTAAACTTGAATATATTTCAATTTATTTTGAATTTATTTGACATAGTATTCAAAACAATACACATATATACACAAAATATGTATTTTGATTTGATAGAACATGCCACCTTGAGAAAAAATATACCATGTCATACAGTGTATATTTGTACCAAGATGTAATCTATTTTCCTCTCCAAAAGCTGGTCGCCTTACAATAGATATGTAGCATGGCACAATTATTCAAGGTAGGCCATGGCAACCTATAAATTATTATTTTATCATACTATGGCTTGTTATGCCAAGAAAACCTGCCATTCCATTCATTATCCGCAATTTTGGTAAAATGTTAAAAATATTTCAAATGTACAGAACTTGTTGCATATGTTTTCATTTATTCTGACATTATTGCCCATAAGGTTGAGGTGTATTTTCTCCTTTCTGACAAAAGCTTTTCATTCATGTTTTTAATATTTTATTTTAAGGATTCGAAAATATTTCATTTTCAAAATAAATATAATTTGTTTGAATGTTTACATTTTCCTGTCAAATAACGTTGACAATAGTATTACTTACAAAAACAAATTTCCATGTTGTTGTTGTATTGTTTGTTATGCAACAACACTTGCTGTTATCTTCTATTATTATACCATGTACTGGACCATGTAAAGGAGGAAACACATACGAGGATTCAGGCCTGGCCTGTTAATTTACTTACTTACTTAGCTGGCTTGTTACAGAACGGTTGCTTTTAAGCCGAGCTTAAAAAAGATTTCCAAGCGCGTCGGTCTTGTGCGCAAATCTACCAATTTGGAAGACCACGTTCCAAGATGTTGTTTTCTACTTGGTCTTTCCATCTAAAAAAAATTGCTCGTACCGACAATTTTCTGGCAATTCGTTTTGTGTATTTTGTTTGTTGTGTCATTTCAGAAAAAATAATTCAATTCAGAAAATATATGTTTGCAACCGACTTGCCTTGTATAGATGCATGAAGCAATTTCAAAAGAGAACGATAAGAATTGTCGCAAGTAAACTCGCCTAATCTAAATCAGAACTTTGTGTTTCTCCCTTTAAGTATTCTATAGCAACACACATAGATCCCTATACTATGTCATTTAAATGCCTGGTGATCCCTAATTTCGTAGGGTTTGACAGTTCACGTTTCCAAATTGAATTCTGCATAATTGCTTCGTGTGCAATTTCTCCAATATTTTGAAATAAAGCTCAAAAACTATATTAAAGGTAAGATTTACAATTAGAAAAATTATAGAAAAACATTTGAACTACCAACTACGAAATATAATTGTCCTCGGTATGATGAAATATTTATCATACACATGTAAAAAGGGACGGTACTCTATGTCATTAAGATTCCATTCAAATGTATGTGTACATGCAATATAACTATTAAAATTCTATTCTGTTATTGTTTTTAATGCTTACCTAAGGATTTTTATTATGAAGGTAAAATTAGTGCTTACTTAACACCCACCTGTTACCACAAGTTTGTGGTTGCCTCTTCCGTCAGCAGTAATAAATGTTTTTTTTGATCTCTATTTTTAGTCCAGCAACGTCAAGACCTCCAATAAGAAGCGAAAACGCCGCCAGCAAGTAAGAACTATGAATCCAGGGGAGATTACAACGACTGAAATTAATACCGAAATCAAATTAGAGGTAAAAGTGGAAACGGAATCCATTGTTAAGGTGGAAACAATCAAGAATCCGGCACCAAGTTCTGTTGCATGTTCGACACAAAGTCAGCCTCAGCCAGCTGCTATCACAAATAATAGTGAAAAATCTCGGGAAGAGATTAAAGCAGAACGTGAAGCTAAAAAATTAGCCAAACAGGCAAAAAAGGCAAAGAGCAATACAACTGGTGAATCGAGCAACATCGCCGCCACGGTTGCTGCAACTGTTGTCCCTGTGACTAATACTGGAAAAACTAACGAAAATACAAATAATATGGAAGGAGCTGCTGGTGGAGAAAAAACACGCGAACAAATAAAAGCAGAACGTGAAGCTAAAAAATTAGCTAAGCAAGCAGCCAAAGTTGCAAAAACCGGTGGCGCTGGTGCCACTGTTGAAAGTGTAGCTGGGCAAATGGCTCAGGTGAAAATAGCAGACAATACTACACAAAAGATTGCAACTCCATCCGGTCCTATTGCTGAGGGAGAAAAGGTAAATTATGTAGATGTTATTTATTATAAAACTTATTGTCAATCAAATAATTTACTTTGAAATGGGGCAAATAAATTTGTATTGACATTTTCTCCGTTATTTTATTGCAGAAGAAACCTGCCCTAACTAAGGCCGAACGTAGAGCTATACAAGAAGCACAGAGAGCAGCAAAGGCCCAAGCACAATCACAAAAATCTGCACCTGTAGCTGGAAATAAACAAGCAGTGAAAACTGCTGCTGCTGTAAAACCAGCAACCAAAACTCTTCCGGTGCCAGATAAGACGTCACCAACAAAATCTACCGCCAATAGTCCTAAACGAGCCACAAGTACTTCGCCGGTAAAAAGTGTTCGTTTTAACGATGGCAATGTTAAACTCTTCAGTCATCTCGAAAGACCAGCTACAAATGTGAATTTATTTGTAAATAATCCACAAATTCATCCCAGCATTGCTAGGTTGGGAGAGCAGTATGCCAAACGTGTAATTGTCGGATCAAATGCTAGATGCCTGGCATTTCTTAATGCAGTTAAAACGGTAAACTCTTATTCTCTATATAAATAAAATTCTATATTAATCATTGCCTTTTATTTTATTTTTCAAGGTTATACAAGATTTTGAGACACCACCCAAGAAGGAATTCTCTCGCAGTTTGGAAGCTCTTCTCAGCACCTCTGTTGAATATTTACAAAAATGTCGCACATTGGCCGTATCGGTTATTAATGCCCATAAGAATTTAAAACAAGTTTTAATGCAATTACCCAATGATCAACCCGAATCAGAGGTAATTTTTGTATTAAGGAATTTTTGTTTGCTTCCATTTGAAACTAATTTGTAATTTTTTTCTGATTACAGTTGAAAGAAAAACTTTTCATATTTATTGATACATATATTGAAAATCAAATTGGTAAAGCTGCCGAAGCTATTAATTCTATGATGCAAAAGAAAATCAATAATGGTGATGTTATTTTGACATTTGGATGGTAAGTTTTTGTTGTAATGAATTCAAAAAATTCTGCAAATACGATAGCTATGCCGATATAACAATGTCTGTCTATTTGAAATTTGATACAGAGATTTGTGTTGTATGTAGGATGTTCGGTACTGAATTTGCGACATTTGCCTGAAATATCCTACAATAGCCATTACTATGGTCGCACCTCTGCAATGCAATCATTGACGCCATGCATAACTTTTAGTCTACCTTAGAATTCTGGTCGCATAAAATCGACTAAGGTCGACTTTTAATCAGGAGAATTCTTATCACCTGAGACCGAACTATGTAATTTAATAGTTGAATATTTAAAGTAATGTTTTGAGCAGCCTGACTGCTTGAGAGAATATGCATAGAATCACTTTCTGAGTCGATTCCGCCTGTACATGTTAAATTTTAAAATTTATCTGCCTCAAGGACGGACCCTATTGAAATTGGTGAAAATTGGTTCTGATATAGATATAGCTCCCATATAAAATTTCGTTCGATTTAAGGTTAATGGTGCACCAAAGTCCCTACATATATTTCGATTTGCACGAAATTTAGATATAGCTCCCATATATATTTTCGTCCGATTTAATGTAAATGGGGCGCCAAAGTCACTAAATATCTTTCGATTTCCACGAAATTTGGCATAACATACTGAGGAAAATTCATTTGGCAGAAATTTTTCAACATAGATTTTTCCAGATATATGTGTTGGAAATATCCATTTTTTCTTTTTCCTCATGTCGACGTTTATACCTTTTCTTGTTTTCCTTTATCTTAAAATTATATAGAAATATGTTATCTGCTTTCGCATCGAATCTAATTATTCTTTTACATTTTTAACCTGCAACTGAAATTATTTTACTAACAAAAGTGCTCCAATTTGTTTTTTTCATTTCAGCTCTTCATTAATTTCCCTAATTTGTGAAGTGGCACAATCACGTAAGGTTGATTTCCGTGTTATTGTCGTCGATTCCCGACCCTTCTGTGAAGGTCAAGAACTGTTGCGCCGCCTAACAGCCAAAGAAATTCCCTGCACTTATGTTCTAATCAATGCCATCAGTTTTGTTATGCCCGAGGTGACAAAAGTGTTGTTGGGTGCCCATGCATTGTTGGCCAACGGTTATGTTATGGCACGCACGGGTACAGCACAAGTGGCGTTGGTGGCTCGATCCTTTAATGTGCCCGTCCTTGTATGCTGTGAAACACATAAATTTAGTGAACGTTTTCAAACTGATGCCATTGTCTATAATGAATTGGGTAATCCGGATGATATTGTTGTTGATGATAAATGTTGCCTTTCAAATTGGCAGGCTAAACATAAAATGTCTCCGTTAAATTTGAATTATGACATAACTCCACCAGAATTGGTAACAGCTGTGGTCACAGAAGTTTCCGTATTGCCATGTACAAGTGTTCCGGTTATATTGCGTATGAAACCTGATTGGTCTATTGTCTAAGCGGAACTAATGTTCGGCACATGGTTACTAATTTCAGTTTTTATTTTGGAATTAAGTTAAGATTAGCTTTTTTCCATTTTTGGTGGTTATTTAATAATATATTCATATACACAATGAGTTGTTATAAGCTAAGCTCCATTTTGTTACACTTTTTTGTCTCTTTTTTATATATATTAAAACACAACAACAATAAAACAATATTATTAAAATATATTTTAAATATCATCGACACTGCCACGATAACCATGATTAAACCAATAAATTCTGATGGTAAAAAAATAAATTAAATCACATAGAGTTAAAATGCTGACACCCAAGAATGCAGACATAACATTGTATAGGCTTACTGTAAGTAAATAAAACATACATATTTATTAAACAAAATAATAATAAAACAAATATTATTTCAGTAATTTACCAACATTGTCAAGAAATGTGTACATTACACTCCTTTCAAATGTCCCCCAGGGTGGATATTCAATGGACAAAATAATAATGCCAGATTCGTTTGATTCTAAGGGAAATGTTGAAACCTATAAACAATATATCATCAAGAAGAAAAAAATTAGTTATTTTATTTATTTACAAATATCTTCACCTCTGTCAGAATAACCTGGTCGATACAATTAGGATAACATTGACATTTTACGTTTGCTGGTAATGATTTTGAATTTGAGTAAATATTACGAATTCGCTTTGAATGCCTATAAATACAATTTAACCGCATTATATTGCATATAGGTTTGTCAACTTGAAACGATTCAGCTAGATTCCGTTTAAAATAGAAATGTGGTATACAATGACATTTTTCAAGTATATAATTTGTCCGGCATTCCATTAAACATAAATTTTGAGAATACATCTCCGGAAACATTAATAGATGAGATGGAGTTATACTATAGCAACCCCTTTCATGCAAATTGGTTTCGCTGTGAAAAATTTACAAAAATATTATAAAACAAATATTCTGCCATAAATAATCCATAAATCTACAATACCTCAATAGATTTTCCTGCATTGTTATCTCCTTGATTTTTGCTACTAATTTTGTTCCTGTTTGAACACCATCCTCATCAGCGCTTACAATGGCAGCAGGTTTTGTCCATGTTGTTGGTAGTTCGTAAGGTGAATGTACAAATATTCTCACCTTCCCCTTTATGTTATGTATGATTTTCGTTTCTATGGGAAAAGTGTTGCTAAAGTTGAAGGTGTCTGGTAATCCCTTCAAAGATTGGTTGATATGTCGGGGATGTGGATACGGATCATACCAATTTCTATGATTAACAAAGAAAATAATTTTTGGATTTATATACACACATATGCAATGCTTTTTACATTGTATTCATTTCATGGTGCAGCAAATTTCTTAGGGTATAACAAATTCCCACATCTGTCATTATTTTTACAGCAGAGACTCCTCCGTCATATTTCACATTGAAGGCATGGGATAGACTAAGGGTATCGCAATTTTTTTAAGTTGCAGATTAAATGAACTATATTGTATATATTTACTTGAAAACCAATTCCATATAATTCTTAGGTGGTATTCTTTTAAATTGCATCTTAAAGTTTTCGGCTCGTCCACTATTTACATTAGACAATTTTTGAAGAAATTCGAGAATATTTACCTTGTCTTCATTGCTGGTTTCATTGTTGTAGTTACTTTGAAATATAAAAATAATACTGAGAGATATAATTCTTCTTCTTCTATAAGACTTTAAGATAGTATTCCGCACTATAGAATTTTATTAAAGATTTTAGGGTCATCTATAATAATATAAGACATTTAGGTTATTTTATATAATTAACTAAAGGCTTCTATCTGAACAGGATAGGAATGGTCTTATATACGAAGAGCAAAAGACATACAGGGTATTCTCCATATAAGATCTCTTTATGATAGAGAATACATCTAAGGTCTTACATATAAATACAAGACTTCTCTAGTCTTGTAGGATTATAGCAGCAGGGGTACCAACCAACCAGATTGATCACCTACCTGTCAACCATCTCAACCTTCATGAAGGAAAGAATGTTGTATATATCGCCGTCAAAATCCACAGATACTCTATTACCTTCTGGACGCGTGAACAAAGGCAAGAACTTGATATAAGAGTCGATGATAGAAGAATCATGGGTGTTGTGTTCGATAACTTGCTCCATTTCACTAAACATGCAGCGTACATTAAAAGGAATATCCAGACAAAAAATAAGGTTCTGAAAGCGCTGACAGGAACCTCCTGGTGAAACGACAAGGAAACCATCTTTAGCTATGCTGCCACAGTCTGGACCTCCTTTTAAGCGACACTAGATAGCGTAACCTACAAGATGCACAGAATAGTGCCCTCAGGATTGCTACCGGCTGTGTTTTGATATCGAGCGTGGATCACCTTTATAAGGAGACGAGGATACTGTCTGTACGGCAACATAATTGGTCTGTTCCAGTACTTTTTTAATAGTGAAGCTAGTAAAAGGGAAACATTTCAAAATCGCCCTCAGAGTACAAAATAATTTGAAAAGTTCGGGAAGTAAATATGCTAGTAAATATGCCAAAATTATATGGCAATACTTCAAAATCAACATAACAGCCAATCAGAAGTAGGCATTCCTGTTTACCATTTTTACTCGTTCAAATTTGGCTCAAAGTTTTACTAGTTTTGTGGGTTGGGGAACGGTTTGCGAGTAAAAAGTAGATTCTTTTACGTTCTGGAACGGAACTAATGTGTTGCTTGCTAGACAGTTCCTCCTGGCCTACCATCTGCCTAGTCACTCAAACCATCACATTGTGATGCAGGATCCTCCTCCACGACATATCCGGAAGGACACCAGGCACTTCCGCCCGGACATCCAAGACGTAATACCAACTGACGTCAACAGATTGTCAATAGCGGCAGGCCTGAAGCATCTGCATAAAACACGGCTCAAGAAACCGTCAACTGTCATCCACCAGCAATTTCAGATAGCGAGAGACATATCGGACTCGGATAGTCCCTGACATCCAAGATCAATGTGCAAACTGTCAACAGTCCCCGCACAATACGGCACAACTCCGGTCTGGATGGAGCAACATTGTAAATTGTTATCGGGCTCGGACAGTCCATGACATCCAACATCAATGTCCAAACTCCGTACAATACGGCACACATATTCGTCTGTCCAGTGGACTATCTTTATGAGTAGACGAAGATCTTATCCGTCAATCGACACAATTATATGTTGTCGATGCATATCTTATGGCCGAACACCACCGCCCAGGCATGTCAGGAGAGATATTCATGACCTAGAGAGAGGGGTCCAAAGTTAAAAGCATGAATCTCTAGATCAATAAGCCTATCAAGCAGGTCTGAATGGTATTCACACAGACGGAATACTGTGTTAATACCATAACCGGAGACCCCCCTATACATCACAGCAGAGGAAAAGCAGATGCTCCTACAAACACGAGTAGTCTTAGTTCCACTAAGATCTTGATGGTGCAACCGCCTCAATTCGAAACCAAATATATGTCCTGACAGCCGACTCACCTATCGCCGAATTCACTATGGACCCAACCCATTCAAGTTGCAATATTTCTGAATTTGGAGATAGAGGCTACAACAACTAGCCGATAGAAGACCTCTAGATGATTTGTAAAGGAAGTACTAGACAATAGAAGACCTGAACCATCTTTTATATGAATATGATACCTTATGGTCTTCTATATATTAATAGAAGACTTTGAAATATTTATAAATAAAATACCTTTTTAATTCTTGTATACGTCCAAAAGACCTTAGACCTTTTCTATATGCATTGGAAGATCTCAAAAAGGTCTTACGAAGTCTTTTGTAAGAATATTCCAAAGCAGCAGAGGTTTCCAAGTTGACGGGCAATCATAGACTGGGTTAACTATATGGTAAGGAATAGATGGATTAGCTGTAACATACAGGACATAACAATCAGAGAACACCACAGGGAGGGATTTTATCACCGCTCCTGTATGTAACTACCATAAATGGACTCTTAACCGATGAAGAATTTGACCCAGTCTGTTATGCAGGTGACTTCATAATACTTCTTGGGGGACAGAATCCTAACATACTGTTACGAAAATAACTTTAGATTTAAGATTAATTTAGATGAATTCCGTTAATTTAAGAATTTGAATTGTAACGTAAATTTCTACTACGCAGTTTATTTGAATAACTTCACAACAACAACTACTGTATAGATTTTTCTACATCCTTCCATTTCCTCTTTCATTTTCTATTTTTGTTATTGTCGTACAATTCTTGTTAAACGTCATTCCTCTTTCTTTGTTATTCCCTCGCCTGTATATGTGTTGTTGTTATTCCTCTTTCTTTGTTATTCCCTCGCCTGTATATGTGTTGTTGTTATTGTTTACTCAATGTAAGTTTGTATGTGTGTTTGTTGCATTGGTAGATTGTTCGTGATCTAGGTGTTACCAGATCGTCTAGAAACTTCTGTAGCGACAAGCAAGGCTCATATAAATAGGGGAAATGGAAAGGCAGTGAGTCAGTTGTGAATCAGATCGCGAATTGAAACCGTCGTGTAAAGTAAAGTGCAAAGTAAAGTTGTGTGAATAAAATCATTGTAATAATCGTAATCAGAACGAACCCGCGTTTTATTTGGTACGAACTGTATCGGGAAATAAAACAACGTCTACACGGGAATAAGTGAAGTCCAAGAACGTAACAATTGGTGTCGGAAGTGAGATTACGATAATACTACGATGAAGTTTAAGGATCTACGAGTGGAAGACTTGAAGAAGGAGCTCAATAAATTGGAATTGTCCTCTACTGGCAACAAGGCTGAGCTACAAAAACGTCTGTTGGATGAGTTCGAGCGCCGTGGTATGAACATCGATACATATGAGTTTGACAGTAAGGATGAAGTGGATTTATCGGAAATGGGCGAATCCAACGGTGGGGAAGTCTCGTCAGTAGCTGCCAGGGGTGACGATTTCAGAGAAATGCTGGCTAAAATGTTTGAGGAAAATTC